ATGTAATTCTTATTTTGTGTATGTGTATGCTTGTGTGGGCCCACATGCCACAGCATGCATGTGGAGGGCAGACAACAACCTGCAGGAATTGGTTCTCTCCTTCTCCTGTGTGGCTCCTGAGGACCGAATTCAGGTATTGAGGACAAACTCCTTTTCCCTCTGGGTCTCTCATCAGCTCTTTTTTGTTTTTTCAACTAGGGCCTGGTTATATGCTACCATGCTTGGTGAAAAGATCATCCTTGATGCAGTGTAGAGAATAGACTGGAAAAGACATGAGTGAATGTGGGAACAAGCAGTTAGAAGACTTTTACAGTGCTCTAGGTGAAAGAGGATTATAGATAGGGCCCAGGAAGTGGTAATGCTTTAATCTGAGGGATATGTAGGAGACAAAGGGGTTAAAAAGTTCAGCTAGGGCTTGAGGAAGATAGGCCTAAGGATGACACTAAGGTGAAGAGTCACAAAAGTAAAACTGTCTCACTTTGGACATAAACACATCAATTTCCCCTAGATTCTGATCACTTCATGTCCTTTCTTTTATGGATCTTAGGCCGCATTACCAGGCTAGAAATTTGGTTTTTTTGCTGCTTTTTTGCTTTTAAGCAGGGTCTTACTATATTGCCCTGGTTGGCCTGCTACTCACTATGTAGACCAGGCTGGCCTTGAACTCAAAGAGATCTGTCTGCTTCTGTACCCATGTGCTGGGATTAAAGGCATGTACCACCACATCCAGCAAAATTTTAAATTACCAATACTCTGTTTTGGCCTCACATCCTGTCCCTTACCCCTACCCTAGTCACCTTTCATCTAGATCATTATTTCTGAAAATATTGTCCCAGAGGGGTCTCTTGCAAGACCACAAAATTATCCAAATGTAAGTTTTTTTCTTTGACTTTTATAGACAAATGATACAGAGTTCCAGACCATTTTTTTAAATGGTAACCATCTGAGTTATAAAGGGGTACTAAAATTTGTTAGTCATAAACTAAAATTAGCCTTTAACTGGAGTTCACAGAAGACTCTAATTAGGTTTTCTACTAAGAAGTCTGGCTGCCAGCAATATTTGGCAACACTGTGAAGCTCCTGCACACACACACACACACACACACACACACACACACACACACAGAGCTAGTTGGCATGCTCACCATTTTTAGGAAGGACATGTCGTTTCTGGGGCATTACCAGTGATGTTTGGAGCTGGTCATGGTTTATGGTGCTTTGCATTCATGCATTTTAATTACAAATTATGATTCATGGAGCGCCATCATGACCAATTTAATATGCCATGAGCTATTTGATTAACTCTAGGGGTAAAGGCAAGAGAGGCAAGAGGTACTTCTCTGACCTTATTTCCTGCCACCCTCCCCTCCCATCTTTGCTGATTCAGAGCATGCGTAGCAGGTTCCCACCTCAGGAACTTTACACTTGCTATGCCATCTGTCTGGAGTGTTCCCCACCCCCACTCCAGAGAACACATACTTCCTTCCTTTTCTGTAAGTCTTTGCTCTGACATCTTCTTTGTGAGGATGCACCTGAGCACCTTATTTAAGTTATAATGTTCTGGGCCCATGAACTTCCTACTATACTATCCTGATTTGTTTTTCTCCTTGGCACCTATCACCATACAATATACCACATATTTTACTTATTTATTTTCAACTTATCTCCAACAAAAAGATAAGCTCAATGAGAGAGCAAGGATTTTCATTTATTTTGTATCTTTCTATATCATCAATACTGAAAAAAGTATCTGGCACAAGGTAGATATTTCATCAGTAATTATTGAATAAGAATGAACATTTGTCAGGTGTAGTGGTGCATGCCTTTAATGGTAGCACTCAGGAGGCAGAGGCAGGAGGATCTCTGTGAGTTCAAAGGCAGCCTGGTTTACATAGCGAGTTCCAGGGCAGCTGGGGCTATAGGGAGACCTTGTCTCAAAAACAAAACGAAGCAAAACAAAACAAAAAAAGAACATTTAGGGCTGGAGAGCTGGTTCTATGGTTAAGAGCACTTGCTGCTCTTGTAGAGGACCTGGGTTTGAGTCCCAGCCGCAAATGATGGCTTACAGCCATCTGTAACTACATTATAGGGGATCTGATGCTCTCTTCTGGCCCCCAAGAGCACTGCATGCATGTGGTGCACATACACACATGCGGTACATACACTCATACAAATAAAAAAAATAAATCTTGAAAAACAGAATGAGTATTTCATGAGTATTTTTAACCTCTTAGTCCCTAACACCCAGCTCCTAAGCCACAGATACACATAGTTCAAATCTGAATCATTCTTAGCCCTACTGCCAAAGCAGATACAAACATAAATCCAGAAAAGCATGTTTACATATAGCTTGTTGCCAGTTCCCACTAGACTCCTTTTATTACTGTTTCCATCTCAGGTTTACTCCTTCCTACCCATCAAACACACTCAAATGAAAAGTTTCAAAGACCAGCTCAGACACTCAGATTCATATTCAACCCATTTTTTTCAGGAATTAAGTATATTCAAAACTTTGTCCTAGGTATAGGGGACTCAACAATGAACAAGAAGACAGATTCTATCCTTCCCACAACAGAGTTTAGAGTAATAGGCATATCACCCTGATCTGTCTCCAGAAAACTGACGTAATTCTTTACAGGAGAATATAAAGGTCATATTGAAACATGAAGGATGAACAAGAGATGAAGAGGCAACTTAGGGCAGGGCAAGGAGAAGCAGATGGTAGACAGAGGATTGTACCAGCAGGCGGGGCAATAACAGTTTCAAAGGCCGAGAGAAGAAAGACAGCATGGATATCACTTTGCAGGAAGTGATAGGTCAGCCTGCTGAGGTTAGAGAATTTTCATTAAGTTAATAGCAAGGTCTAATGTAGAGTGGGTAGCAATGGGCAGACCATTCAGAGCCTTGCAGGCCCTACTAACCAAGTTAGACTTTATCTTGAGAGCGAAACAGAACCACTAAAAGTTCTTATCAGTGGAGTAACATGAACAAATAATGTTTCTGTCTCCTAAATAGCCCAGTCCTGGCCTTTCCTCAACACTGCAGGCATCCAAGTCCTTCCTCCTCCCAGAAAACTTTCTGTGCTTCAGCCTGCATGCCTTTCTTCCCCTTAGCCCCAGGAATCTCTCATCTTTCTGTCCCTCCCATTGCTGAGTGCCCATGAGACAGAGACAATTTCCTGAGCATGTCTAGGTCATCTCATACCTGCATAACACTGATCTAAATTGAGCTTCACTGAGACAAGACCATGATAAATACAACCCAGCCTTTTCTTACACCACACACACACACACACCGGTACTTATAGTATACTAAACTACCCCTTCCCTTTTTTTCTTACACCACACACACACACACACACACACACACACCGGTACTTATAGTATACTAAACTACCCCTTCCCTTCTGCAGATAATGCTGACGTGTGCTGGGTCCACTGACCTAGGTTTATCTCCTTCCTATCTACTGTCATCTCTCTCTGCTTTCAATGTAACTACTTACTCATGTCTTCCCTAATGAAGCTGGAGAATCTCATCACTGTTCAAATTGAAAATTGCTAGGAAAGATTAATCTGTGAAAATATACCAGTGATTAGGGCTAGGGGCTAGGAAGAATTCAACTGGGCTGAGACACAGAGAACTTAGAATAGAGGAATGAGTCTATATTTTCATTGTGCTCATGGCTCATAAGTGCACAACTTTGTCAAAACTTGAAATGTATAACTAAAAGAATCCTTTTTATTATATATAACTAGACCTCAATAATGTCAAGTTAGAACTAACTGCCCATAAATTAAGAATCACCTGCCTAAGGACTGGAGAGATAGCTCAGTGGTTAAGAGCACTGGCTGCTCTTGCACAGACCCAGGTTTGGTTCCCAGCACACACATGGTAGCTAACAATCGTCCATAACTCCAGTTCCAGGGGAACCAATGCCCTCTTCTGACCTCTGTGGGCATTGTACAACATGGGTGCAGTTACATACATGCAGGCAATACCCTTATACACATAAAATATTTTTTAAAAAGAATCATCTGCTTTAAGCACAGTATATAAGCTTCAAAACACAGCTCAGGCTCAGGACAAAAACAGGGCACGGGAATAGTTGCTTCTCGATGGCTACAGATATTCAAGAAAGATAGGTCTATCAGTTGTAGAAGCAGAGGACACAGGTTAATACGCAAGAGTTTGGACCAAAACATATATTGCTTGAAATTAAAGCCAATTCCTGAAAGACTGGGACAATCTTTCTGCATGCACACAGGTTCACACGGTTGAATGGATCCTTGTACGGGAGAGGCTTGTGTTTGAGGGTGAGGAACAAGGCTGGGGAAAGGGTCTTTCTCTTCTTTCTCTCTATTTGAGTCTCCCTGTAGCCCCAGCTGGCCTGGAACTCACTATGTAGACCAAGTTGGCCGATCCACCTGCCTCTGCCTCCCGAGTGACTGCTGGGACACCACTCCTGGCTGATTTCTCTCTTTTTTACAAGTCCCTTAGCACAGGGACTAAAATCTAAATCAAAATCCTGCACACAATCTGCCCTTCGTTTCCTGTATGGTTCTCTTGTGTCTTCTCTGTGAGCTCCCAAATGGCAAGTGGCCTGTTGTCCCCACTTAGCTCAGCCCTGAGCATGAAGCCAATTATTGAACAAAAACTCCTTTGGGACAAGAATGGAAGGACGACGAGGAAGGGAGTAGGGGTAGGAAGGTTAAAGAAGATGGACTGGTTGGGTCTGTGAGGCGAAGAGATGAGAATAGTAAGAAAAAGAGAGGTGAGAAAAAGTAGAAAGACAAGTTTGGGCAAATAAAGGACAACAGGTTTCGTGGGAGACAGGAGAGAGGCAGGTAAGTGGGAGCATAATCCAAGAGAACAATCCAGAGAAAAGTTAGGGGTCGGTCATAGAGAATAGATCACGCATCAATGGGCGAAGTGTGATCAGTGGTCATTGGCGGTTAAGGTCAGGGGTCATCAGAAGACAGCAGGTCATAGTATGCCTTTACCTGCCTGCGAGCCTGCTTGGGCATCTCCGCAAAACACTTCAAACCCTGAAAACCGACAAAACCTGCTCCCTCTTCCGGGGAGGAGTTCGTCCGTCTTCTTGACCATGCACAGGAAATTCAGACTCTCTTCTGTTTCAGTTCGCGTCGTGAGGGGTTCTTTGGGGACAGCTGCTGCTGTGGGTCCCGGCGCCCTTGTAGGATAGACTGACTCCTCCCTGACGCGGTTACCCAGCAACCGACAGGCAGCCAAGGCGCAAGCGCGCGGGCGCCCCCTCCCGGCACGGGGAGAAGGCGGGGCTGGGTGCGCCGGGGGCTACGATAAGCCCCGCCCCTCAAGAATAATCCGTGCGACCGCCTCGCGCATTCGGTGCTGCGGCGTGTGGGCGGGGCTGGACGCCCAGACACCGCCTTCTCATGAATAATGCAGGAGCCGGGCGGTGTCCCGGACCCGGAAGTGGAGTTGCCGAGTCACCGCAGTGGCTGAGCTGCTGTCAGGAGGCGGCCGCGGAGGAGGAGGCGAGGCAGGACCTGCGGCTCTGCTGGGCCACCGCGGCAAGCAGCGCTAGGCAACCCCACCGAGCTCCGCCGGCCCGGCCCGCCCGCGAGCCCTTCTCGCCTTGTGCGTCCTTTCACCCGCCTGTCCGCCCGACTTGTCCGGGGCGGCCTAGTCTGCACCACCTGCCGGGCTTCTGGGGCCGCCGCCCCGCGCGGTCCTGTCGGCGTCCCCGGCCGCGCCCGGCCCCTGGCCCGCTCGCCTGCCGGCACCATGATGGAGGAGATCGACCGGTTCCAGGTGCCCACCGCGCACTCGGAGATGCAGCCGCTGGTGAGGGGGCGGGCGGTGGGCAGGCCAGGGCCGCGAGGGGCACCGCCTGAGGGGAGCGAAGGGTTCAGGACAAGGGGGACGGTGCGAGCGGGCGCCCTCCGAGAGGGCAGAGAGAGACCTACAAACGCACTACCGTGGGAGGGAGACTTGCAGAGGTAGAAACCATGGGTGATTACCTGGGGTGCGAGCGAGCCAAGGACCTGGAAGGGCGTGGGGCATCGTCAGCGGAGGCAGAACGCTGTCAGATGTGGCGGAGGGGCGCACGATGGCACCATTCACCTCCACCGCTAGTGGAGGAGCATAGAGGGGATGTCACCGGGTACCTTTGGGCAGCAGGCTCAGGGGGTCAGGATGGGGGTGGGTGAGAAAGGAGTTTAGCCCTAGAGGCCTGTGATGGTCAGGGCAGGGGAGGGGGCCAGGGGAGCCGCCTGACTACGGAGGGCCTGGAAATAGGCTTTTAGAAAAGAAAAGGCCTGCCCTCCAGTTCTTTGGATAAAGACAAGAAATCTTCGCAGGAGTCAGGCACCGATGAGGGCAGGGGTTCAGTGCAAGAGCCTGGGAATTCCGTTCTTCTAGAGAAAGGAGCGCCCCCAGTTCAAACTGGGGGTATCGGAATCGGGAGAGTATGCGGCAGCAGGATCGAGAATCAAGGGTGCCCCTGGGTACCTTCGGGATAGGAGGTGGGGCTGTGCTGGAGCGGCCTGTGCCCACCAGTTCGGACGAGCCCCGGGTCATCTTAGGCCTAAGTGCTTGGAGTCTTTGCTGGGCGCGGATCCTGCCGCGGGTCCGCGGTCCTGGAGTCAGGCAGGAATGATGTCATCGCTGCCGGCGCCTTAGGGGATGGAAGGGGGAGGGTGACGCCGGTTTATGGAGGCCAGGCCTAAACCATGACCACGGGCCGTTGCCCTGGGGGCTACCTGACTGACTTTTCTGCCGGTGAACGAGTAGGAAACTCAGAAGCCTAGCCAGCTGATTCAGAGTCGGGGGAAGGGAAAGTGTCTGTCTGTTGGCTTAACACACCTTGGGGCCTGAAGTAACAGGAGCTAGAAGGCAGGATAGGCCAGGAACCAGAAGGTATGGATGCCCTCTCTACTCCTTGCTCTATCCTGGAGCTGGCCTGCATTCTCCAACTCCTGAAGCTCTGGGGCTCCCTTAATTCTCTTCCATCTGTGTTAGAGTGACCAGGAATAGATTCTCCCCTTGAGCCTTACCCCCCTTAATTGACAGGTGTGCTTTGTGGTTTCCTAGACAAACCCATTACAGTAACCAAGATGGGTCATGGTGGGATCCTTGAGCAGCTCTATGTCACATCTTTTGGGGGGTAATTATGTTATGAAGCCGAAACAGATAAGGTTTGTAGAAGTATTCAATATTAAACTGAAAGAGATGCTGCAGGATGTTTTCCTAGCTTGATGCCAGTACTAGATTATTTGGGAACCAGATAATCCTGGAGAGAAGTTTGTTCTATAAATTTAAAGAAGGACTTTAGACTGGGTTAGGAGAACTTTCTTTAATAGGTTCCCTATCCAGCTAACTTTGTTTTCAATCTAGAATACCCTTCCAGTTCTAAGCTAATCAGAACCCAAAAGAAGAGTGGATGAAAGAGGTGGAGGTTCAAGTAAGTCAGAAGGAAACAATGAGTCTTATCTCTCAGTTGGTGTACTTGAGGAAATAGCTGTCCAAAGAGAGCAAAGAAGGAATAGGGCTGTGAGGATCCCTCAGTTGTCCTTGGTGACTGTTATTGCCTGAAATTCTTAATCATGGGTAGAAGACTACTGAGCTGTTTCTGGTCTGTGTGGCCCTGTAGTAGGAGAAGGTTGTGGCAAGGAGGTACTTATTAGAATAACTGTAGCTGCCCACACACCCTTTCTTGAAGGCTAAAGTAGCTGCTGTCTGCAAGGGAATACTTTGAGATTGAGCGAATCTTACAGAAATAGCAAGCTCATCATCCTTACTTGGGCTTCATAGATATTGCCCTGCTTCTTGTCACGTATCCCCAATTCAGAGTCTAGAGATACCCCCAAACTCTTTCTTTAAATGTCCTACATTTTGTTGAGACCAGTTGAATCTTGTGTGACATTTCCCCAGGGACCTTCATTTGAGGCGTAAGGAATCAAGAAGCACACCACAGAGGTAAAGGGAGGATGGGAGGGCAGAATGGCTCTTGAGGTGTGTTTGGGAAGACCATCAAAACCAGGGTCCCAGGCTCAGACTCACCTGTGATCTTTTCCATGTTTTGCTATCATTATGGAGACCTCTAGGAAGTCCTCCTCTTCCTTGAACTGCTTTTCAATTTATGAAATCAAGAGAAATGATTAAAGTGTAAATGCTAGCTCCTCATTCTCCCTTCCAAAAAATTATCATAGTGCCTGATCTATTGACTCAACAAATTGATTTACCAAATACTGAGCATCTACACCAGTACTTCTAGATTCTACACAAGATACCAGGGACACAGTGGTTAGTAACACAAACTCAGATTAGGCCCTGCTCTCCTGGAGCTTACAGTTCAATGAAAGCTTATTTCTCTTATTTTTAAAAATATTTTATTTATTATTTTTATTTTATGTGTATGAGTGTATTGCCTGCATGTGTGTAAGTGCACTCGTGACGTGCAGTGCCTGCAAAGGTCAGAAGAGTCCAGATCTTCTGGAACTGGAGTTAAGGATGGTTGTTAGCCACCATGTGGATGCTGAGAATCGAACCTGGGTCCTCTGTAAAAACAGCCACTGCTCTTAACCACTGGGCCATCTCTCCAACCCCTAAAGCTTATTTCTCTTGCTCACTCTCTTGGTGAGCCTCCCTGAAAGCAGAGTGGGTCCCTTAGACCCCAAGGGAAAGAGGGCAGCACTAGTGTTGAGAAGGAGGAAGCCGCCCTCCTCTGCCCGGCTAGCTCAGTCAGTAGAGCATGAGACTCTTAATCTCAGGGTCGTGGGTTTGAGCCCCACGTTGGGCGCCAGCTGCAGGAGGCTCAGCCAGCTGCGGGAGGCTCTCCCTTTGCTCGCGGGTCGTTGGCCACCGATCCACGAGGGCAGGGAGAACAGAAGCGGCAAATGGGGTCAGAATGGCCAGTGGGTGCTGATGGGAAGACAGCTCTTCTGGGGAAACTGATCACAGGCTGGTCCCAGGCGCAGTGAAACAGCAATGACACAGCTCCAGGCAGTAAGAACAGCTCAGCTCCAGGCAGTGATACAGCTCCGTTTATTAGTGGGAAAAGTAGAGAATTTATAGTGTGGAGGCAGTAGCAAAAGCCTCAGTTGATAGGTGCTCATAGTGTGCTTTATTTACATGTGGCAGTGGGCTTCTGTCTTCCAGACTGTCAGACAGTGCCTGATTATCATATAGAAAAAACCTGCGGGTAGTTTTTACTTCAGGTAACTAATGCTAAAGGCCATGTTTTCAGATAAGGTCAGGCATCCGTGGTTGGTGGCACTTCAAGGTGAACCAGGAAGAGAGCAGGAGGCCCCCTGCTGAAAAGGGGAGTTTTTTCATTTGGCACCGAGGCCCTCAGGGCTATCTGGACATGGAGAAACTGCAACCCTAACAGCAGGGTTCCCCAACAGTGTTGGCTGCACAACTCCTTTCAGGACCTAGATGTATGGAGAGAGGCCTGTGTCTTGGACTCTATCACCAAATAACCCTCCCCCACTCATGGCGATAAGAAAAATGCAGAAGCCATTCTCTCCTTGGAAAGATGAGCTGTAGGAGAAGTCATCTTTTATTTTTACTTGAAAGAAAAACTCAGCTTGAAAAGAGGCCTGGGGGAGTGGCAGGAGCTGAGAGAGAAGGTGCAGCCAGCAGATCTGGGTGTTTCCAAGGTGCTAATTTAAGCATTAGCTCTCAGCTAGTGGGAGGAAGAGGAAGAAATCCCTGCCCTGTTGTTGCTGCTGCTGTTACCACAGCTGCCTGGAGCCTCTGGCTGGGGTAGGAGTTTGCCTGAAAGGAGCGGCTTCCCTGCTTTCCCCATCATGCCAATTATTTAATTGGCCTGGCTGCATCTCAGCAGCTGAACCAGGCCCCAGCCTATCTCTGAGCTCTCCAGGGTCTCTTCCTGTCTCCTTAGGAAAGAAATAAGAGCTTCTCTCAGTGACCTATTCCCTGGGCTCCACTCCTGCTGTCTGTCTCCTGAAACTTTGGAATGGCCCATTTTTGTATATCAGCTGTGCCATATACCGCAGTGATCCAGGGAAACTCCCAGCTGCCCACTGCTCTCTGTTGAGCAATTGGGTTGTGTTTGGGCTGTTTTTGGTAGGAGTGGCAGGCACAGGCTCTTTGGCCCTGTTGTCTGTTCAGCTGGTTGGTGCAACCACAGTCTTATGTCTTGGAAGAGATTTGTTGCAGGAAAAACAGATAAAGCTTTTAAGCATTTAATTGAGTCAAGCAATACCCTGCCTCTTGTGCTCTCAGAGGCATAAGATACTTACAGAATAGCATATGGCAACAGACAGGATCCTTGTACACTTGAGAGAATGCTAGTCTGGCCTCACTGAAACCAGATTACCCATTAACTCGTTTGTTTAGTTCATGGATATTTGCTATTTGTCTGCTCAGTTCCAGGTATTTTAAGATACTTTAAAAGCTTTATTGTGAATGGCCAGGCAAAGAATGGGCTTAAATGATTACAGGAAGGTTTATAGATATAAGAATAGTGATACATGGTGTCTCTGAGAAAGAGTGACAACTTGACAAAAAGTGGCGAATGCTGTGATTCTGACCCTTTGACTGGGAGCTGGAAGAAGGGTTTCAGACTTCTGCTGCCTTCTCACACTAAGGGATAGGGATTGCCAGAGTATTAATTCAGTGATGGGACCATAGGAGCTCCTAAAACCGGAAGAAAGAGCATCATAAACACAGCAAATCACACTGGAAGATGTGCATTATGTGGTCTGTGCACATTTCAATTGTTCCTTGTAGTCAGGTGGCTTTTTAAGCTTAAGAGTGTTTCCTTAGCTGGGTGTGGTGGTGTGTACCTTTAATCCCAGCACTCAGGAAGCAGAGGC